GTGGCTTCTAGATCGAGAGAGGTGTTACTGCCACTCTATACGACTCTGGTGCGCCCGCAACTGGAGTATTGTGTTCAGTTCTGGGCTCCACATTACAGGAAGGATATAGCCAGGTTGGAGTCAGTGCAGTGTAGGGCCACAGGGTTGGTGGCCGGTTTGCAGGGAAAGCCATATGAGGCGAGACTGAGGGAACTGGGTCTCTTCAGCCTGGCAAAGGAGGATCTGTTGGCAACATACAGGTATGTGAGGGGGTGTCATGCAGAGGTGGGTAGAGACCTGTTTTCCCCTCCAGATGAGGGCAGGACATGTTCCAGAGGGGCAAAGCTCAAGGAACCAAGGTTCAAGTTGGATTCCAGGAAGTACTTCCTGAGACTTAGGACCCCAAGGGTGTGGAATGGACTTCCACAGAAGGTGGTTGAGGTCCCATCGGTGAGGATGTTCAATAACAGACTGGACATGCACATGGTAGGCATGTCATGAGCAGAGCTAGCTGGATCCGGGGGTCAGACTGGATGGCCCAGGATGACCCTTCTGACTCACTCTTTTTCTTTGTTTCTATTTTTGTATCATTTGTTCAGTGTGTGAAGAAATGCTTCCTTTCATCCATCCTAAACTGGCAGCCAATCAGTTTTGTTGGCTGGATCAAAATTCTAGTAACCTGGAAGAGTGAGAAATCTGTTCCTCTCCCCACTTTTCCCCCTCCTGAATAACCGAAGAGGCCACACGTTCAGTTTTGGAAGACCAATTTCATGAATACCAAGCAAATTCCACAGAGCATTTCATAGGATGCTGATGGTGCCGCAACATCATCCTGCTGGTGTCCATAGCAACCTTTTTGCTTGACAAGGAGAGAAGTGGCTGAAGTACTGATGGGGTGAAGGCTGACTTCTTTAAGAGGACACAAACAGACTGCCTTGTCTTGTCCCCTTTCTAAAGCCTGAACCCAGTTGAGCGAGGAAGAATAGGAAGGTTAGTCAAAACAAAACTAGAGGCATCCAAAGAAATGAATGCAAGAATAAGGAAGTACAAAGTCACAGAAATGTGCCAGGCCACAGGGGAAGGAAAAACATTCTCAGAGCCAAGTTCACTTGACTTGATGCGGGAGCAGAGACTGTTCCGGACACCCCACCGAAGGCTGCCTGCCTTCTTTCGCCCTCTTGCTTAAGCATTTTGACCCGAAAGCAGATATCGGCTGCTTTGCTGGATAATCAAGATGCTTTGAGCCTGTGTGATTTAAATATTTTGATTTTTCAGTTGACTTCCAGGCACTGAGGTTTCTCCCAGGAGCTAGTTTTGCAAATGAACTGGTTTGTTATTCCATCCTAATTCCATTTGGGGTTCCCGGGCTCTGCACAGCCACCGTGCCTGCACAATTCGCTGCCTCTTCTGTCCAGTATCTCCATCTCTTCATACTGCTCTTGCCGCCGCCGCTCTTACCATGTTTGTGGCAAACAGGAAGCCAGATTTCGGCACCCTGCATGACCCTGTGAATGTCTAAAGCAGCCTCATTCTGAGGGTGGGCAGAAGACAGCTCTCCAGATTTTGGGCTGCAGCTCTCAGAAGCCGCTGTCAGCCTGACCAATGGCCAGCAAAGCTGAGTCCAAGTGCAAAACACCCGGAGATTTTCGCTCTGCCCACTCCTGAGTTAAATCCTGAGCAGAACAAATACTGCGAAAGAAAACGTGCATCGTTGCTTCAGATGGGTGCCCCGGCCTTTGCATTCCTGGAAGGCTCTAAGCCGACTGCCAAACCCGGCCTCCTTCCCCTGACCCCGCACCCTTTCCCCCAAACCCCAGTAGTTTTCTGCCCTGTTTCCCCACTGCCCACCCCTTCTAAATGGTGGAACTGCTTCCCCTAAGCCTCAGTGACTGACAGTAAAAGATTTATACTCACAGAGGCCACATTTGAGTGCCCACCTACACCTGGACTGCAGCCCCCGGAGCTTCCTTGGAATGTAATTTGTGGCCCAGAACTACAGGACCCAAATAATGAACCAATTTGCATATGCTAATTTCTGAATGCAGTCCCAGCAATCAAGGACCTTGCCGCCTAAGGACCTCCCCATATGTAAAAAGGGGCACATGAGCAGGGGAGAGCAGGGTATCTGATCTCAGACAAGACAAAACCCAAGAGGAAAGATTCGAGGGGGCAACCAGAGGTGAATCACATGTGCTTCCTCAAATGCGCCCATCATCAGGACCCCGGATCTTCGTTTCAGAAGGTGCTGGTGGGCACCCAGAGGTTCAGGGCTCCAGCCCATATGAGCCGCTACCCAGCATGGCATCTTCTGCCCGGCCTGGAGGCATGGAGCTGGGGACCACTCCTCCTGTTCCTGCCCACTCCCACTTACTCGAGGCATCCCCACTCTTTCCCTTGGTCCTTCCCACGGCTGATGAAGAAGCCAGGGTGAGACTTCATGGATTCGATGGCAGCTGAACCCCGAGGCTGGAACCCACACACCCCTCTAGACTTCTCGACCCAGGAACGACTCCACCTGTGGCACATCTTCTGTTTAGGTAGCTGGTTGACTTTATTGTTTAGCTTTTCACCTCCTGAATGATTTGCTAGCCTGAGGGAGTAGACCAGTGGAAAGTATACCTGGCCAAATTTTGGACCGTCTGCCCTGGGAGATATGTGGGGTGTTTGGTGCATCGTTGCAGCTTCTCTCTAAGCTTCTTTCTCAGCAGGTGAGGAAATCTTCTGCTTGCTTTCTCTCTCTGATGTTATAACTGCCAAGCCATGCTTGACGTAGCTCCGGAAAAGGAGTGAGGCGTTCTTCAGAAAGGGTTCTAAATCTGCCTCCGGTTGTTTCTCCTTGTATTCATAGAGCTCCTCAAGGCCAACCCTGGCAGTTTCTTTGGAGTTGATCTTCCTGAAGATCTCAGCCAGTGTGTTATCAGTTCTGTCCTCAGCGGGGCAAGAAGCAACTTGGTGGCTCTCTGCAACATCCAGCTCCACTGAATGCCTCACAATCTTCTGCAGGTGGGTCTCTAGCTCAGACTCATGTTTGTTCTCTATCAGAGTGAGGTGATCCAAGATCTCAGCCCCCTTCAGCTTGCAAAGAGTGTGCAGAAGAACCTTCAGTGCCCGGATTGGGTAACTGCTCTCGTATTGCTTCAGCTTCTCCTTAGGCCATGCTTTCAAGAAGATGTGGATGTCCAGCAAGATCTGTTCCAGACTGACTCTGCTAATGGTTTGTGGAAGGCGTTTGACAGCTTTCCACAAACACTTGGCCACCATTTCAGAAAAGGCAACGAGATTCATGGCCGCCAAGCCTTCTTGGAGCAGAAGAAGCAAAGAGTGGAAAAGTCTGGTCAGGTCTGATTTCTCCAGCACATTAGTTATCAAGAGACTGACAGACTGGATGATGTCTCGCCCTTCTTGAAGGTCTTCAATGGGGGGATCCAGCAAGAGGGTGATGAGGCTGCTCAGGAGGTCCTTCAGCACTCCAGCAGAGGCCTCCTGGGCCAGGCTCTCCACCTGGAAGAGGGAGACCATGCTGCAAACAACACAGCTGTACAGCTCAATGACCTGCTCCTTCCGCATCTCCTCCTCAGACGTCATGTGGAGCCGATGGATGAACTTCAGCTGTTGGCTGGTTGCTATCAGCAACTGGTTCGTATGGCCAGACATCAGGTCCACTTTGCCCTCCTGCTTTATAATCTCTTGGATCTGCACCAGGGCTTCAGTGCTGGTGCTGATGTTGCCACCAGCTATGTTGCAAATGGCCATATTGATGTTGGGAACAGTGGTGCTCCCCGTCTGAGACGCCAGGCGCACAGACTGGGGGCTGATATCAGCCTGCTTCGGATTCCTGCAGAAGGCCGTGCTATCAGCATATTCTACTTCAGCTCGGTCCATGTGGGAAATGCAGAAGTCTTCTCCTGTGTGATGGCCAGTTCCAGGGTTCAGCCTGGAGACCTCTACTGACCCCATCCAAGCAGCCAGGCTAAAGACCTCCTGGTCGGCTTTTTCTTCCCTGATTGGTTTGGCTTCTGCCTCTTTCATCCTCTCCTCCAATAAGCTCATGTGTTTGTCAGATATATTCCCAATGGTCTTGAACGTCTCCACTCCATACACATCCCGAGCAGTGGCGATGACCTTCAAGGCAGCACAATGGACAGCATTGTTTGAATCTCCCGTCAAGGTGATGATGGTCTTCAGCACTTTGCTTGGGTTTGGCTGGCACACGGCTGGACCGTAAGTCCTCAGCAGCCATGCCAGCTCCTTCAAGCACCCCACCCGCTGGTTGGCATTCTTGACCTGGGCTCCCTCCAGGAGGAAAGAGAAAACCTTGCAAGGCGGGTAGACCAGAGTTGCCTGCTTCACTATTGCCCGCACCTCTCTGAGGATGGACTCCTTAGTTGCTCCCATTTTCAGGAGGAGATAAGGCAAGAAGGCGGAGGCCTCGTTCTCCATCAGCTGGTATCGCTCCTCGATGAGCAGACTGAAGAGCCTTTTGAGGTATTCCAGGGTCTTCATCAGCACCCATGTGTTGGTGTCGAACAACCGCAGGCTCAGCCACTTCAGGATGAGGTCCAAGCAGCTGATGACGCCATCCTTCTCGGCCTCCAGGTGCTTGGTCATCACTGTCAGTGCTCTGATGTGGTGCTGGAAGTTGGAGTGGAACAGCTCTTCCTGCAGCCAATTCGACAGGCAGCCGCACATCTGAGCTTTGAGCTGCTCAACGTATTTGCTGCTCGGGGTGCTGAAGTTCCATCTCAGCACCTTCAGGGCCTTCTCATCCTTCATCCGCTGCTCTTTCGCCTTGGGAACGATGGTGAAAATGGGCCCCAGCTTGCTACTGCCGTCCTTCATGCTCGGTTTCCCTGGCAGCTGCATGTTTGGTAGTCTCTTAGCTTTGAGGACCGTTCCTTCCGATTTGGCTTTTCTTAGGTCCAAGCTCATTTCGCTGGACCCCACGTTTTCAGTGGAGAAGGAGGCTGTGCTGGACTGCTGAGGAGGAAGCAAGCCTGACTTGGCCCAAGACTTGCCTCGTGGGAGCTTTGAAAGTGGCTTAGGGAAGTTGAAAGCAGCCTTGCTTGGCTCACCAGCACTCTTTCCCAGCAGTGACAGCACCTCATCTCTGGATGCTGGCTTCAGTTTGTTGGCAGCTTCAGACATCTTCTCAAAACCAAGGTGGAGAAGGAAGAACGGCAGGGCTTCATGCGCTGCCATGCTTGTTTCTTCGTGATGGTCCTCCAAGGCCGAGTACAGGTGAGGCACACAACGAAGCAGATCTGTGGAGATGGAACTGGTGGAAGGCAGCCTCTCAGCCAGCCAGCCCAGGATCCCCTGCTTCTGGAAAACACTCTCCTTCTTGGGATCTAGGGAGAGCTCTTCTCCTTCCAGCCATTCCCTCATGCCAGTCTGCTCAGCCCAGGCTTCCATGGTCGTGAGCGCTGTTGCCCGCAGACTGCTCTTGCTGTCTCTCAGGATGGCAACGATGGACATTCCCAGAGTCTTGACGTGATAGCGGATGCCAGGGCCCATGCCCCTCGCGAGCTGCTCGAGGACAAGGAGTGTCTGCTTCACAAGAGCTTTGTTGGAATCCTGCAAGCAAGACTTCAAGGCAACCGGAAGGTCCCCGATGCTCGGCTGGATGGAACTGACCTCACTGAGGATCCGAGAAACCTCCTCCAGACCTTCCTTGCGTACCTTCCAGCTGGTATCTAGCATCTTCGAGATCAGATCCGTTGAGAACTTCTTGCTGATGTCCACAGCATCATTCCTCTGGCAGACCTGTGCATCCCCTCCTCGCTGGTCATTCACCCCACCCCTGCAGAACTTGCACCGGCCTCGAGTGGGAGGGGGAGGGCTCTGGCCGCTCACCTTCTCAAACTCTGCTTCGATCTGGGAGAGCAGAGATGGCTTTTCATCCTTGAAGAAGGCCCTCAGCGGGGCTCCTACAAACAGGTACATCACACCCAGGAGGTGGAAGGCAGAGGCCCGCTCATCTGGGTGGGCTGCATCCAGGGAACATTTAATGTAGCCCATAAAGCTTTTGGCATCCAAGCCATCAAAGCCAAAGTCCATGATGGCGCTAGACAGCCAGTTGAGGGTTTCTGAGTGGGTCCTCGGGCTGTCGAGCAAGAAGGCCGCTTCCGCGACTTTTCCTGCTGTCCAGGGCAACCCACACGCTTCAGCCACTGCAGTCAGAGCTTCTTTGGTGTCACTGCTGCAGATTACATCCCCAATCTTGTCCACAAGGTTTCCCAAGACAAACTGAGCCGAGGTTTTGGAGAAGTTCCCCTTCTGGGCAATAAGGGTGACGATGCGCAGCTTCTTCTTCATCACTTGGAGCTTGGTTTCATTCCATCCAGGTTCTTTGTCCAGCAACCGCACCAGAGCCTGGCAGGGCATCTGATTTTTCTCCATCTCTTCCACAGCCCTCTCAAAGCTCTCCAGGCAGGATATCCGCTCTTTCCAGTTGCTGCTGTCCAGATGTTGGAGGCAGGATGCAGGGAGGACTGCTGCAGCTTCCAGTTCACATGATTCTTCTGAAAGTTCCTTCTCAGGCACGTTGCTTGATTCTAGCATCTTGGCTGAGCTTGAGTTCTAGAACCTTGGCTAGACACGTTGGGCATGGTGACTTTGCCCTGGGTTGGGTGGCTCTCAGCTCAGAGAGAGCAAAGCACATGCCGGGAAACAAGAAGGGCCTGGCCTGCCTTTGGGGATGCTCTCTGTTACCCCCACCCTCCACCCTGCTCCTCCAGAAAGGAGCTGATGGTTCCCAGAGGCTGGGGACGGGGGTCTTCCTAACAGCTGTTGCCTCCAGCTTATAAGCAACGAGCCCTGGCTGAAGACTCGCATGGGGCATTGTGACATCATTGGTGCCTTGGCAAGAATATGGCAGCCATAGACTACCAGGCAGGGGAGAACTGGAGAGACTAAGACCCTGGTGGCAATGCTACCTCGCTTCTGAATTATTTTGTCTGTGGGTGGCAAAATGCCCACCTAAAAGCAGAAGAGTCTGGATGGTCTAATCTCTGCCAGCTTCCCTTCCCTGTCTTCTCTCCCCTCTTCCTTTCCCTCATTCCTGCGGACTTCTTCACATCCCCCCCTTCTGCATGTACATGAAAACTCTGGCCAACACCAAGGAACTCTGAGGCTTGTCGTTTCCGACACTCCTAGTCCTGTCCCAGAGTGGAGACCCTACAGCAAGAACACAGAACCTCAGGCAAGGCTTCCCCCGAGGGTCACAACCTGGCCATGCTCCCTTTCTCCAGCCCCCAAGTGCTTGGGGCCTCCCAGCTTCTAGGAATTTCCCACTGGCTTTCTAAAGAGGTGGCAAACCTCTCCCAAGATTTAGTTACCAACAACGAGCTTTTGGCTAAAATGTGCTGCTGTTCTGGGGTGTGTTGACTCCACCCTTTGCCTTAGGCCTTGCCCACCAGCGGCCCCTGAGAAACTGGATTTGGTCCTCAGCCTGAAGGGGATTTCCATAAATACTCTAACTAAAGAGATGGTGGCTGGGTGGATAAAGGGAGGGTGGCTGGGTGGGTGGGTGGATGGGAGTTCCATGCAACGAGAAGGCCAGGGCTCTCTCCAAAGAACGCAGGTCCCACCATCCATGCAGCACTGGCTCTGGGCTTTTCTGGGGCCCCGCTCAGTGAATCGACTTCTTTGCCGCCATTGTCAGCAGCCGATCGGCTGCTCCGCCGCTTCCTCCTCATGGCTCCCACTTACTTGCTTGCTGGATGGGCCGAGCGCCAATGAGCAAGTGGGCCAGGGCATCCGTGGCTGCTCCTCCTCCTCCCCACACTCTTGTCTGGACCGGAGCAAGATGCAGCTGTGCAAGCAGGTGGCTGGGGTGGACAGGAGGAGCAGATCCAGGGGGCCCTCACCAGTGGGGCCCTGCTGGGGAACAGGGCTGCCCTCACCCCATGCCTTTGCTGGCCTCCAGCACTAATCTCTGGCCATGGGCTGGGGCTGCTGGGTGCTGGTATCCAAAAGCAACCTGTGGACTCAGCATCCCCTCCTGCAGCACAGGAAGCTTCCCAGCCAGTCCAATCTGGGACTCACTTTCCTCAGTGATCCAGCGGTGCCCATATTGGCACTGACAGTCCAGGGCCTACCACCTCTTTTTCACTGGAGACAGTCAACTGAGCCTGAATCCCAGTGCATCACGTCTCAGCACCCAGTTGCAAGCCTTTCTTGGAGATTCAGAAAGAGCACCAAGGCTTTGAGCTTGACGCCATCTTGATTTTCCTCTGATTCCACTCTGTTCACACAACATGTGTGGGGAGACCACATACACAGACCGCGGGGAGTGATCGTGCCTAATCAGCAAAACCAGACCAGAGTGGTGGTAATAAGCACTCCACAGATCTGGGGCTCAGACCCACGAGACAAAAAAGATCACAAATTAGCATGTGCCAGTGTGGTGTATGGCTGAGATCATGGGACTGGGACTCAGGCGATCCGGGTTCTAGTCCCGCTCAGCCATGGAGCCAACTGGGTGACTTTGGGCCAGTCACAGACCCTCAACCCAACCTACCTCACAGGGTTGTTGTTGTGGGGATAAGATTGAGAGGGGGAGGAGGTAAGAAAAAAAGGCAGGATATAAATTGAATAAATAAATAAATGTTCATTTACATATCCTCCAAAATCAGTCTGCATATGTGCCCTGTCTCACCAAGACACCCCTATTTCTATCCAGGGATATATGGCAGCGGATCATCTAATTTTGGGGTGGGGGGAACTCTGGCTGAAAGGTCCAGGGGGTGGGACAGCAGGGAGTGAAGCACGTGTGGGTGCAAAGTCAGCCTGTCAATTCGGTGGGCAAGAGAGAGCCCTGGGGACCCTGGCCTTTGTTTCAGTGAGAGCCTGCGAGCAGCGGAGAGGTGGGCAGAGAGCCTCCCAGGGATTTGGGGCTCCAAAGGAGAGACTCAGACCTCCAGCCCCAGCCACCCCTTCTCCAACTTCCTCTGAGAGCTACTGGTCAGAGGAACCCAACCACTCCTGCACTGGGTTTCCAGTACAGCAAGGATTTTGGCAGACTCTGTTTACCTCTGATGCTGGAGAAGGCTCCTGAGAGTCCCTTGAATTACAAAGCAATCAAATCAGACAATCTTAAAGGAAATCAAATCTCACTGTTCTTTAGAAAGTCAGATACTGAAGCTGAAGCTCAAATACTTTGGCCACCTCATGAGGAGGAAGGACTCCCTGGAGAAGACCCTGATGGTGGGAACAATGGAAGGCAAAAGGAGAAGGGGACGGCAGAGGATGAGGAGGCTGGATGGGGTCACTGAAGCAGTTGGTGTGAACTTGGGTGGACTCCGAGGATGGTGGAGGACAGGAAGGCCTGGAGGAATGTTGTCCATGGTGTCGCGATGGGTCGGACACGACTTTGCGACTAAACAAAACAAAAACAAAAAATGACCACTGATGGATTCCTGTCATGAAGGACTGCACAGCCCAGAATTTGCAGGAGCTGAGCGGGGCTTTCAAGGACAACACATCCTGAAGGACTTTCCTAATTAGGGCTGCCAGAAGCCAGAGGCAATTTGATGGCAGAAAAGCAACAACAGTGCCGACCACCATTAATCTCCACCCAAACTGGCCCACCTGCTCCCTCCCCAAACCTTGCAGGACTCCATGCCTCCTTTTCTAAACTTCCAAACACCCCTGCAGAGTAGGCCAGCACCCATGCCCAGGAGTGTGGCTGACAAATGCTGAGCTCAGACATCCCTTTTGTGAAGGGCCAGTGCCAATCGCAGTGCAATTCCACTTTGCCTAGAAGTGCCCAGCCCTGCCTCTTGAATTCCAAGGCCCTTTGTCCCCACAATCTGTGTTTCCTATAGCCATGTCTGTGCCTGTGCAGATCTTCTCATCTGATCATTTCCCCTTCTGCACTGCTAGCTGCACTGGGCATTTATATTCGGTTGGGTAAGACAGAAACTGGCTCAGTGGGGCTGCTATTTAGCTTCAAGGGAGGCCTCCATGGTGCCAAGGAGAGCTTTGTTTGCAATCCATCCAGCAGCTCCGAGGAGGCAGCTTTTGTCAGGGGGAGGAGGGAAGATGCAAGGTCCCGCTCCCAGCTTCTCACAGTCCTGGACCTGCTTCAGGCTTCTCTGCAGCTGCTGTTTAACTTAAAATCAATAAATGGATAAATAAAACAGGGCACAGTCACTCCATGGGAAGAGTTGACATCTGACCCTGTGAGGACATGATGAGCATAGGACTGGGCCCTGCATTAAATTGCCTCTTTGGCTCATCTCCCCTATTATTTTCTATTCTGAGTGGCAGTGGGTTGTCCAGAATTTAGTGTCCAGGACTTGCCACCTTTATAGTTGTGAAGAGTATCTCTCTTATAATTTTTATTGCTTCATACACTCTCAGCTGAGGAAGGGATCCACTGAAATAGGCTTCCGAGAGATGTCTCTCACACATTGGGATTATTGCTTTGCAAATGTCCCCAACTTTCAATGTCTTTGCATACTGCAGGTCCCCCAAATAGAAGATCTATTCATCATGTATTCTTTGGTAACTTATGTTCTGCTTCTGGTTCCACAGGTCACTTATAGCCACCATGTTTCATTTTCTTTAATACTATAGAAAGACAGAAAGAAGCTGCAATGAACATGTATAACCATGACACTTTGAAACATAAACTTTATTGCAAGGAAGAAATAGAAAGAGCACATCGAAGTGACTTTGCAATGTTGGGGGTGGGTTGGTGTGTCATGAAGAAATAGTCAGAGAGCACAAACACAAGGAATTTGTGAACAATTAATCTGCATGTTTTATTAAAACAACTTCAAAATCAAACGGAATTTTTTGTCTTTTTCATTTTACTTTAACAATGTGTTCTATATTACAGTCTTCAGCTCCTGGACTGGGAAATCAGGGGGAGACTTGAGGTGAGGGGCGGAGGAGGAGGAAGAGATGTCTGTAGCTAACAGGATGTGAAAGTCTTCCAGAAGAAGTTCTTGCACCCGGCTTTGCGTTCTCTGGGTGCCAGCGGTGGGTTCAAGTTGGCCGACCGTTCCAGCTCCAGCCGCACTTCGTCTTGCTCAGCACCGCGGGACAGATCGTCCGATTCCAGGGCCTCATTGTCAGACTGGCTGGGCTCTGCGAGCAATTCCGCCAGGAAGTACTTGGCCAGTTCCTTTGGAGAAAAGCAGCGGGACAAACTATGTGAAGAGGTCCTTGGTTGGATCATGTGAGGGCAAAGAGCAGGACATGGCCTGACTCTCCCTATGACTGGGGTTCATTTCATCTAGAACAGGGATGCAGAACCTTGGACATGGAACCGATCCATGCCTGCCCTCTTGAGGTCCCCAAGCGCCCACACCCCGTTCCCTGGCCCACCCCTTTCCCTCAGTCACCAGTTTGCAGCTTTTGTGCAGCTTTCCCCCATCTAAAATGTTCAAATGCTTCTCAGAAAGCTTAAATACCAGCAGGAAGAACTTCATGCTACCATATACTGAAATCTAGTGTGGTATAAGGGTTAAGAGTGTGGGATTGAGACTCAGGCAATCTGGAGCTCCCTGGGTGACTTTGGGCCAGTCCCACACTCTACCTCACAGGGTTGTTGTTGACTTGCTCACAATGAACAGCCCATGAAAATAAGTCATGGTTTGGATTTCAAACTGTATGTTGCTCACCATGGTTTGTAGCTCAGTTGAGTGCAGAAAACACCGCAGCCAACACTCAACCCTTATCATGTTGTCTACTCAAAACTATCCCTGACTGATCAGCTGTTTTGTTTAAAACTTTCAATGCAGCAACTTCTGCCACACTTTAGCCCTGGTTCACACATGCAGTTTTCCTATTTTAATAAAATAGCATCAAGAATCATTGAAAACGCTCCCACTTGATTGTCTCCAACTGTACAATCACCAATAAATGTTTTCCTGGGGAGTCCATGAAAAGGACCTTTCAAAAAGGCTTGCCAGATGAGACTTGGGCTGGGTCCAGACAACACAGCAAGCCACGGTGATTTTTCACCATGGTTGGTCTCTTGTACTGTCTGAACTAAGTCATGGTATTCCCCATGGTAAGTTTGGTCTTTAGAAACCATGATAAGAAATGATGGTTTGTTCTATGGTTCCTCAATACCACCATGGCATGTTGTGTTGTCTGAACCCAGAATCGTGGTTTCCACAGTCCTGGTATAGAGCTACCACAGAGTGCCCTGGAAAGAGCGGCAACTGCAGGAGCTGCTCCAGCCATCCAGCCTCTGTGTGTGGACCAATCAGGAAAAGGAAGGTAATATAGTCAGGGAGTGATGCACCTTGGAGTGAATTTCAGGTGGCGTGGCAGATGGGATACATGCTGACAGTGGGAGGATTCAGTAGGGAGGATAGAAACCCAGAATAAAGTAAAAGCCAATAGATTGTCTGTCGGGTAGATCATGGTAAAAAAAAGACCAGGGTTCTTTTTTTTTTTTTAATCATGCAGAGTTCTTTGTCATGTTGTGTGAATGCAACCTTAGGCAAACACTTCCTGTCCAGCACACCCTATGGGCAGCCTGCAAGGAAGGAAGACGAAACTTGTCCCTGCCACTCTGTGCCAAAATGAACTTTGCCAAGTGGTTGTGACTCTCCAACACAGCTTGCATCACCGAGGCCGGCCTCTCCGAACACTGTCCAAGTACCCGCTTAAGGCTGTGGACATTATCCACAACTGAGGCACTCCAACAAGTGACAGAAGCCCCGCTAGACAAGCAGATCAGTGTGCAAAAGCGTGCAGTCATTATACATGTCCCCAGTTGTATATCATATTCTGCACAAATGCAATTACTCGGCTCTTTCTCAGGGGGATGATGCATGAAGCTGCTTGGAGTTGCGGTTATGCACAGCAATCGTGTTTTATGCTTTGACGGGTTGTGCAAGGCTTTGCAAGGAGAGGGAAGGAGGAACTCTCCCCATCGTGTTTGTCCGAACTTGTCAAAGTGCTGGAGCGCCCTGAAAAATATTGCAGCAAAAGCATGCAATATTAGAGCTCGTTCCGTTAGAAGAACGTCTCACCTCAACTGGTAAATTACCTGGTGTGGGGAGCAGATGTTGTATGATGCTATTTCAAATGAATGTTATTTCAGAGATTTCCCATTTCCTCTGATGTTGTGGGGAGTGGAAACCCACTTGCCCATCAACTTCTCTGCACTCTCCCCTTCGCTTTGTTTTCTCTTCCGTTGCATATTTGCAATCTTCCTGTGTGCTTGTTGTGGGAGTGTGCAGCTGTGCATGGCTGTTGGGAAGTTACACTGGGCCACAGGTGCTTGGCAAATGCTTGCTGTATTAGCGTGTTGTGCACTCGTTTCTACACGGAGGTACTTATCCTGTAGGCATTTCATCCTATCTGCAGCAGCGCTGGTCGACAGGAAAACCAAGGGCATCATATTCATGTCCAATCAAGGATACGAAAGAGAGGGAAAAGGGGACACACCTCCTTAAACTCACCCAGCAAGCTTCATGGCTGAGTGGGGCCTCAAACCTGCATTGCCCGGGCCCCCGGTCCTACGCACTTGCCAGCATAAGTCATCATACTCCTAATCAGGTCCATGCAATGGGGATGAAGAGGGTTGGCACAGTCCGGAGCCCCCTGTGCTGAGGACAAAATTGGGGGGTGGCCACTCAACCTGCCAAGAGCCATCAAGCCCATCACTGGACCATGGAACTCTGTGTGCATCTGCGTGGTATCTCTGAGTGCCCGACGTGGGAAACTAAAGCAAAGACAGTTGTCTCGGTGCTGTTTTCCCCAAAATCTGCTCCGGGAAGCGTGCCAAAGGCCAGCGCCAAGAGACTCCTGCTGTGAGCTCCTTCCTCAGCAAAGACCGCAGGCAGGACCACCCTGGACTCGCTGCTTCTACTGCAACCTGCCTGCCCACCAGCTTTTTGCTCCAGGTGGTGGCGAGAATGTGCTTTTCAGAGCACGTGCCTCTTTTAGTCTGATCCTTCGGTCGGAACATGCAGGTATTTCCCTGAGAATGTCAAACCTGACTGCATGTTGTACAGTTACTCCTTTACCCGGCTAGGGCCATTCACCAGCAGTGGAGTAGCCTGGATTCTATTCATTCATTCATTCATTCATTCATTCATTTATATCCTACTTTTTCCCAGGCTGGGGACTCAAGGCGGAAGCCCTGATGGCAGAGGTCTTTGCCCTGGTAACGTCTGGGCTGGATTGCTGTGAAGCTGCCCACAAAGATGGTTCGGAAGCATCAAGCCATGCCAAGTCGGGCAGCTAGAATTCTTCTGGCCCACTTCTGCATCAGACCCCTATTACGTAAAACCTGATTTGCTTTGACTGATTATTTTGTTCTGAGCCCAGCTCAAGGTAGTGCTTAGCTGCAAATCCCTAAGGATGCGATGCTATGCAAGTTGAGAAAGAAAAGTGGTTGAATCAAAGGCCCTTTTTTGTCTAAACCTCCAAAGCGTCGCCCCTTGAATGGCTTGGGACAGCAACTTTAAGGAGCATCTCCTCTCATCCCAGCTTGCTGTGAATTGAGATCAGGGGATGAGGACTTTCTCTGAGGGCCTTTGGTAAAAAAAAAGAGATAGTCTTTTCTATGGTGACACCTCGTTTCTGTGGTGGCAACTGGACAGCCATCTGAGAGGGATGTTTTAACCTGGAGTCCTACACTGAGCAGGGGGTTGGACCCAACAGCCTCTGGCCCCTTCCAACTCTACAGTTCTATGATTCTATAAATCCCTCCCTCTGAAAATCTACTTTTTTGTTCTTTCTCTGCGTATTTTCATTCCTTTACAACTTAATGTTGTCCGTACAGGTTTCATCTGGTAGATAAATTGTGTTGTGCTTTGATGTTTATTGTTTCTGATTAGGTTGCTAAAGTTTAAAGTTTATCTTCATATGCCACCCTGGGGGAGGACAGCGTAGGTAATGCTTAAATAAATAAATAAACACAGAGTCTAGAATATATTTAGACACCTAAAGGCACTGCCTGGGAGAGAGGAATAAAGCCACCTGTTGTGCCAATTCTGCATGAGAATCTGCCTCCCTCCCTTTGCTGCCTTGGGCAGGGGATTGCCATGCAACCACAGTGCCCCACCTACAAAGCATGGGTAAGCATGGCCAGGTTCAACGAGTGTCTGTTTTAGATTTGTTTGCTTGTTGGTTTACTTGCTTCTTCATGGGTAAATCAGGATCCAGAAGTTATTTGCAAATGAAATCCATGAAATAGAAGCTAAATTATTTTGTTTAGAATTTAGAATATTCTGCAAGCCGTCCAGAGACGACAGTGATGAATGGCCTATAAATTTCCTAAATAAATAAATGCATGTGTTATATAAAGGCTCGCACCTTATGCTGCATGTTGTTTTTATTCTTGGGGCCAGAAGATGCATATTTGCAAGGAGATGAATTGCTTCAGAGGGGTTCTCTGGTCTCGATGTGCTTGTTTAGAAGGAAGAGTTGACTTTGCAATGCACGTATTTTAATGGAAGATTTATTTATTTATTTATTTATTTAATGTATTTATATTGTGATTTATATCCTGCCTTTTTCCTATAAAGGGCTCAAGGCAGCTCACATCATTCTCCTCCTCCATCTTATCCTCACAACAACAACCCTATGAGGTAGGTTGGGCTGAGAGTCTGTGCCTGGCCCAAAGCCATCCAGTTGGCTCCATGGCTGAGTGGGGACTCGAACCTGGATCGTCTGAGTCCCAGTTTCACGCTCTTAACCACGACGCCGCACTGGCTCTTTGAAAGATGCACTTGCAAAGTCATAAGAAAAGCCCTCCTGGATCAGATGAAGGTTCTTTCTAGTCCAGCGTTCTGTTCACATGGGGCCAACCAGCTGCCGACAAGCAGGGGTGCATCCGCACTCTCCTGACCATGCTCCCCAGCAACTGCCTTATATAGGCATATGTCCTCTGATCCTGGAGGCAGACTTTTGTTATCAAGACTAATAGCTATTGATAGTCTTAACTTTATGTGGTCAGCACTCAATCCTGTAGAAGTGAGTTCCATATTAACTGTGCACTGTGTTGGAAAGTCTTTTCTTGATTATGGGATGATCCCACTAAGTTCAGGTATTATGAGTGGAGGAGAAAAATGTCTCCCCATCCACTTGCTCCACGCCAGTTTTTATTCTGTAGAAAAAGTACAGAAAAGTACCTGGGTTCCACCACATATGACAAAACTACAACTGATCACAGGTGGATTTAGAATTCCACTTCACCGTGCACTGATACGGTAAATTTCCCTTCACCGTGGCAGAACATGGAACAATCTGATCCAAGGAGATTCACCACAAAATGGTCATGGAAGTTCTCATATTTTATACAAGCAGAATTTCCAGGACCTTTTAGATGCGTGTCAGGGAGCAACTGTCATATCTCAGCTGCTTTTGTACCTGGTTACAAGCAGTTCCTGAAGAACTGGGGGAGAGAGAAGCCAAGTAGATCTACTCTGAGTAGTGAATCAGCACATGGATGAAGCACCTTTAACAATGGTGGAGCATTGCAATGCGAAAGGCTGAGCAGATCTCTGGGACTGGCTTAGCTCATAGAAAAGAGTCCTGGGCATCTCAAAAGCCTGCCATTTCACTTAATAATTTTGTGCTGTTGAAGGATGTGTTTGCTTCATACATGCTTGGTCTTTGAAACATTATGCTTCTACAAGATTATGTATCCAACAGAGCCCAACCCATTGCCCACTGCTGAGTGGGATACAGGTATCCCTCCGGTAGCTTCCTTAGAATGCAATACCTTGTATACTAAGACAAAGCAAGTCCTATCGCTTTTTCTCTCTGAACATGCACAGGGTTCTGCCTTTAACACTGCAATCCTAAATACTATCGGGACTTAATTCTGACTGATCTTGAGCTAGACTGGGCTGTTACAGTGAGACTATTTTCAGCACCCTGGAGAGTTCCGTATCGCGGACTAGCTCCTAGAAAAGGATGGAATTGTTTTCACAGTGAATGTGGGCGTTAAAAGCAAAATATCTTCCATTGTTTCCTGTTGTCTAGGAGCCTTCTAGTCTAATGTTTGTCTGTTTCTGGTTTTGAAATGCATGACAGTCGAGATAAAATAACAGCAGAATTCCTGGGAAGAGGTCTGCTAGGAACATTAAAATTGCATCCGTGTTATTTCTGGGTATGTAGCCATTTTATATCCCACTTTTGGCCAGACCGACCAAGGAAGGTATCAACAGTCCTACTGGATTTTAAGAAGCCTAGAAGCTGGTGGCTGGCCTAAACACGTGTTCTCAGAAAATGAGGGTTTCGTCCAAGACATATGAACTGTATAGGAGACCAAGTTCTGGGATCCTGGGTGCAGCGAGGGGACCACTGGCCCCCTCCTGCTCGTGTTTCATCTCAGCCTGCTAAATTAATTTCAGTCTTGGGATGGACAGATATTTGCTTATTGGGTTTGCCTGCTTCTACTTTTCTTATTCCATTCATGGGTTTTGGCCTTTCTATTCGTTTACTTTTTAAAAAAAATGTTTTTATCATTTGTTCCCAAGAACGTCTGGTTTTGAAAAGGTAATTCACAAACCTGCTTTTCAAACAACCTGCAAAGTTACTTGATCATCATATTAAATCATGTAAAGCTCTCAAGTCAACTAAGATGACTTTCGTTTGTCTGGAACCATGCAGATGCAGTGACTGCAGTTCCTATCATCCCTGACCATTGGGTCTGCTGGCTGAGAATGATTAGCATTGTGATCGAACAATCTGGAGGGCACCAGACTGGGGACGGCTGTAAAGCGCGGCTTGCCATAGAGCACGGCTTTCTAATAAGATGTTCAAAAGAGGCTCAGGATCAGAATCCTCTATTGATGCCAAAGGCACAGAGGATTCACATGCTCAGAGGCACTCTTCTCCAGCTCCTGGCATTCAAAACTAAAAGTGCCAGACCCGAGTGGCACCTTGCTTCACACACTCAAACACAGGCACGGACTGATATTTTTCTGAATATTTGGGCTCGGAGGGGCCCGGGGGCGGGGGGGTCCCACCGCCCCGCTCTCCCCTTCAGCCCCGCCTCTGCAAAGACTGAGCGGGAGCCTCAGACCTTCCTGGGAGCTCTTGGGGTGGGCAGGCTGCACTCACTTGGGAAGCAGAGGGGGGGGGGGATGCCCTGCTTTGGGGGGGGGGGGGGATCCTAGAGGCACCCGGTGCGCGCCTTTGGACAGAGCATTTCCTATTGGAAGATTCTGGCTGGCTGGCTTTGAGCTTGGCCGACAGGGCTCTCCGTGATCCTCTAGCCTTTCCCTTCCAAGCACCCAAGGCGGGCGCCCTCCTCTGCTCCCTTTCGACCTCACCACAGCCCTGCGAGGTCCAGAGGCTGCCCCGGAGCTGCCCCGGGAGCTGAGTGCGGACGAGCGGCCAGCGCCCCAACCCCTGCGCCACGCAACGGCTCCTCGAGGGTGCGGGTCAGGAAAGAAGCCTGCTAGAGCGCCACGCTGCGGGACAAACAGGGGGAGTGCCCTGAGGCCGGACTAGGGGACGTCCTCTGCCCGATCCAACCGACGGCGGGAACTCTGCCCGCGCTCAGAGGGCCTCTCATCGGCGGAGCGCCGAGAGCTGCCCACAGGCTGCCCGCTCTTCTCTCCCACTTCCCTCCCCGGTCCCGCGCTCTCGGACGCCTGGGTCCCGTCTCACCTGCTTCCCCGCGGCGGCGGCCAGGGACTTCTGCAGGAACTGCCGGAACCGCGGGTCCGAGGGCGTGGCGGCCGCGGTGCTCAGCGCCAGGGCGACGGAGGCGAGCAGGGCGAGGGCGCACGGGAGGCGGCAGGGCAGCATCCTCGCTCCTGGCTCGAGGGGGCGCGGAGGGTGAAGGCGGCGACGGGGCGGTCGAGGCGAGGCGCTGCGCGGCGCGGCTGTGGTGCCTCCACTTCTGGGGCGCTGCTGATGCTGCTCGGGGGCCGATCTTGGCTTCTGGGATCTCCGCCGACGCCCCCCACTTTATAAAGCCTTCTGCTGACGTCAGGGAAGGGGCCGCCCCCTCCTCCCCCACCTGCAAAAGGAGCCCGGAGCTTTTGCGCCCCATTAACTGTGCAAATCGTTCATCACCCCCAAAGGGATGGTTTGACACGTGTTTGGAGGCGGAAAGCAGGGGAGGGGTAATTCCAGCAGTGGGATTTAGGCGGCATGGTGACGCTTGCTCCAGCGGCCCCCTCCCCGCACAAAGCCCCCTCCCACAAAGACACTTTACTCCGTGCGGAACTGGAGAAGGAACTTTTTATTCACAACCTGAAGGACGCGGGTGAGCTTCCCCAGTAGCTTGGACGAGGCAGGGGGGCGGGGGGCGCTCTGAGTCCTCTTTCTCCCCTGGGGAGACGAATCTCCGCCCGTCCAAGGGTCCGAGATGGAAGAGCGCAAGCGGGGCCCCAGGGGTAAGGCGAAACTGACCGCCGCCCCCAGGAGGAGAAGTGAAGGCCAAGGAGGGGGCGCCAGTGTCACTGGGCTGCCCACCCATGCCGGATTTCAGCCTGAACGGTGCCCAAGCTCTCCGTGGTGCTGATCCGATGAGAGCGTGGCACTCTGCGCCTCAGGTGGTTGGCTGGGGCAGCCGAGGAACCCTCCGCCCTACCTCCTTGGAAGAAAAAGCCACCCCGGCCGATTTCATCCACTTTCCTTCCACGCCAGCGTGCATCGCGCCAGACTGCCGCGAGCGGCCGATTCTAACTTCTCTAGTGTAGGCGCGCGTACGCCGAGGGCGGGTGAGGAGGATCAGTACGCCGAGGGCGGGTGAGGAGGATCAGTACGCCGAGGGCGGGTGAGGAGGCTGAACTTGCCCCACCAGCCGCTGCCCCACCGCCGCCTGAAGAAAAACCCCATTGGCGCCCCTGGGAAGCCAACTGGCACCTTTGGACCCGATCCAGCATGAAGGCCTGACGCATACCCCTCCACTCCGCGGTGTCGCAGAACTTCCCGCTGGATGGGGACCTTGCGTTTATTCTCCTCGCGCAGGGCTTCCTCGGCCCCCTGGAATCGGGTGGCGCCAGAGTTGCTTTTAAGTTCAGGGTTACGTTGTAGAATCATGGAATGGCAGAGTTGGAGGGGGCCATGAAGGCCATCCAGTCCACCCCCTGCTGTGGCAGGACACCAGTTTACACCATCCCACTAAGATGGCTGTCCAGTGTCTTTCTGAATGTCTCCAGTGTGGGATTGCCCACCATGTCTCCGGGCAGCTGGTCCCACGGTCCCATTGCTCTGACAGTGAGGAAGCTCTTCCTGGTGTCCAGCCTGAACCTGGGTTGTCACAACTTGAATTGATTCTTCCGTGCCCTACACTCTGGCATTAGAAGAGATCTTGACCTTCCGTTTTGTGACAGCCTTTGAGGGACTTATAGAGGGAGATCACCCCCCCCCCACCCCAGCCTTCTCTTCTCAAGGCTGAACATGCCCAGTTCTTCCAGTCTTTCCTCGCAGAACACTCTTTCCAAACCCCGGATCATTCTGGCTGCCCTCCTCTGGACCCTTTCCGATTCTTTCGAGCTCCGGCTTCTCTCGGACCCCGTGTTTTCCCACCGACTCCCGCCCTGAGGCCACCCCGTGGGGCAACAGGGTCCTCACGACCACCTGCAGCCGCTACACGGGTCCCATGAAGGCCTACTTAGAAGCAAGCCCCATGGGAGTCAGTGGGGCACGCTGCCCGGCGGCTGGCGTTTTTTCTTACGCGCCGCCAAGTCGTCTCCTGTCTAGGGCGACCCTGCGAGGAAAGCCTCAGCGGGGTCGTATCCGCGACGGCCCCGTTCGGCTGCCCTAAATCCGAGGGGTGGGGGGCGGGGGGCTTCCGTCAGGGATCCCATCCATCTCACCCGTGGCCTGCCCCTCCTGCCCGCGACTCCCCCGGCAAGCCGGTTTTCCCGGACAGTTTTGCCTTCCCCCAGCCTACGCATTCCCAAGGTAGGGGTGTACAGACAGAACTGGAATCGAAGGCTACAATCCGAACCATTTCTACACCGGAGTAAATCCTTCTGGCCTCTGTGAAATCGACTCCCATGTAAACGGCCACGGGGCAGGGGAAGGGAAACGCGGCGCCTTTCGCCCCCTTTCCCTCGCACCGGATCCTGTTTCTTCTGATGCAAGTACCGAGGAGTGAAGGCTTTGTACCCCGAGCGAAGGAGAGCCGAAACCCTCTGCTTGAGCCCGCATTTGGGGAAGGGGGGGGATTGCCTCTGAGTAAAGCGTGGGGTGGGGGGATTCAATGCTCCAATTCGCTTCTTGCAGGGGAGCAAGCACTTTTCCACCGAAGGAACGGGACGTCCTTCGATGTAACCCCGCGCGCAGTCCGTTGATGGGAAAAGCGCGGCCTCTCCGCACTCGCCATCCTAAATATGTAGGAAGTCCCGCCGTGAGCTCGGACTCCCGCACACCCCATGGACCTCGTCCGCGGTTCCCTTTCCTCCTGGAATCCGTCAGGGACCGGCCAGGATCCCCAGCGCCAGCAGCCGGGCGCCCGGTAGTTTCCCCCGCTTTCCTGTCAAGGTTTTGCGCCGCAGCGCCCGGTTCAGCGTGTCCCGGGCAGCGCGTTCATTCGGGATCCAGTCCCACCCGGCTTCCCGGGATGGCTCTCGCCGCACAAGGCGGCCGGAGACTTGTCGGCGGCCTTGCTCAGTCCGAACGGGACTACTCCGGAGTAAAGAGATTGCTGAACGCAGCGAGCCTAGCGTTGAATCCGCTTGGGATTCTTTCCCAAGGATCGGGGAAGGAATAAGGATTACAGGCGCTTGGACTCGGATAAAAGATCGTGATCTCCCCGTTTATTGGCGCCCATCGCTTTTCTTTTATTAAGGAAATGTTAATTTACTCGGGGGTTCTTTGCTTCTGGGTCGTCTTTAAACACAGAAAACGCAGCCCTGCAGGCGTCTTCTTTGCAAATGAATCCTCTTAAGTTCCGTGTGTGTGTGTGTGTGTGTGTGCGCGCGCGCGCGCGCGCGTGTGTACGCACGCTTCCCTGAATGGACAGATCACAGCCTGAAAACAGGTGTCCACTGGAAACGGCTCTTTAAAAAACAAAGCAAAGCAAAAACCCGGGGTAAGAGGAGCAGTAGTAATTATGCCCGCTTACCCCAAGACTACTTTTGCTCCCAGTGGTAACAAAGCTTCATATCACATCCCCAGGCGAAGTTAACTCCCTGCCTGGACTTAACTCTGCCTAGCAGGGCAAACGGGCAGTATGTGGCCACGGAAGCGCTGGGCAATGTTCTGCTTTGGAGCGACCCGCCCCCCCCCCCCGCACCGCCCGCTTCTTCCTGGTGAAGCTGGTGTAGGATCGCCCCTTCCGTCTTTCCTTCTGAGCCTGCGGAGGGCGCAGTCCATTCCCCGGGCGGCTGGGGACTCCTGTCTCAGCGGGGTTCCTCGCCCACTGCAGCTCTTCTCTTCTGCTGCACCGGAGCTGTGTGGCGCTGAACCCACCTGGGCGATGCGCTGGGCACCATGGACGTGATGCTGCCCTGTGAGGCTCAGGCTGCAATGAGTGAGAAGGTCCATTGACAGAGGAGGGACCAGCCTCCCCCGGCCCTTTCATGCCCCACAAAGAGAAGAAGAAACACAACTCCCAGCAATTCACTCACTGGCTGGGGATGCTGGGAACTGCAGGACCTTTGTCCATCTAAACAGGCATAGACTTGCATCCTCCGCCACTGGTTTAAGACTGGGCACGGTGATGCCAGGAAGTGGCTGGCAGAGGATTCAGGGAGCGACACACCCCGGCTGCCAGCTGAGCAGCAGGCTTCCAACGGCTCGATAGCCCCGCCGCCTGCTTGCCACATGCCCACTGACAGCCCCTCCATTCCGTCTTGGGCTGGGCCTGCCGCGTTGGTTAGCAATGCTGAGTCTGTTAATGGCTGCCCATCTTTCATTCATCACGTGGGAAGCACTTTCTTAAAACTGGGACGTGTTGTCGCCCCTTTCAACCCTTGGGAGCCATGAAAATCTTCCCTCTATCAAGCCTTCCCTCTGTGTACATACTTCTGCAGCTACAGGACATGGGTCTTCCATGCACAGAATTGCCACTAGGTTTTATGGGGTTAAAAATATCAGTCCACGTAAGAAGGGCCTAGACTTGCAATAGACCTGTTTTCTTCAAAACACAGGACTGCCCTCTCCCCGTTTCATTTTGGCAAGGAGAAGCCCTTGATTCTGTGTATCCCAACCTGCACTCCAAAGTGGCACAATCCAAGCAGACGTCCAACACCTTCCTGAGGACAGAGGCTCAGAGTTTAAAGCAGAACAGTCTCAGCTAGTCTCTCTGCACACCATCGGTGAGGCTTGCTTGTTCTAGAACATGTCTAGAACCACACCACACAGTCACGAGCACTTTGTCACCATCCTTAGCTGCAGTCCGTGGTCCCAGGTATTGATTTCGGAGGAAATAGCTTCCAATTTGAGGAAACTGGGCCTCACTCGTGGGAAGCCCTGACGTTTGCACCTCCGTTTCTTTTATCCTTCCCTTTCAGGATACTTTCCTGTGGCATAAAAGCACAACACCGCTGTTAAAACACAGCCCATCAAAATGACAAAGCAGCAGCACAAGACAAGGGTTTAGTTAAAAGCATTCAGCATCTCAGAAAAGTCTGAAACCTTTAAGACTTTGCTCTTCTTCAGCAAAACCTGGTACCTAAATGATAGCAAAGAACATGTCCATCACACACGCCTTCCTGGGAGAGGAATCCTTTAAAATGCAATCCTGCACAAGTTTAGGCAGAAAAAACTGGGGCAAACTGGCGGTTGTAGGCCTTTGGTCCATCTCGACCTGCGTAGGCGTGTGTCCTTCCTTGCTTCATCTTCTCCTT